TTCTCATTCCAAGAAATTCATCCCAAGATATTCACAGAGGAAGACCATACACTAGAGTACAAAATAGGGAGCAACTTAAAGTTCCACTGGATCATAGAAAAAGCAAGAGAGTTCCAGAAAAATATTTATTTCTGTTTTATCGACTATGCCAAAGCCTTTGATTGTGTGGATCACAATAAACTGTGGAAAATTCTTAGAGATGGGAATACCAGACCATCTGATCTGTTCTCTTGGGAAACCTGTATGCAGGTTAGGAAGCAATGGTGAGAACTGGACATGGACCAACGGACTGGTTCCAAATAGGAAAAGGAGTACGTCAAGGCTGTATATTGTCACCCTGCTTGTTTAACTTATATGCAGAGTACATCATGAGAAATGCTGGGCTGGAAGAAGCACAAGCTGGAATCAAGGTTGCCAGGAGAAATATTAATAACCTCAGATATGCAGATGACCCCACCCTTATGGCAGAAAGTGAAGAACTAAAAAACCTCTTGATGAAAGTGAAGGAGGAGAGTGAAAAAGCTGGCTTAAAGCTCAACATTCAGAAAACTAAGATCCTGGCATCTGGTCCCATCACTTCATGGCAAATAGATGGGGAAACAGTGGAAACAGTGTCAGAGTTTATTTTTTTGGGCTCCAAAATCACTGCGGATGGTGATTGCAGCTATGAAATTAAAAGATGCTTACTCCTTGGAAGGAAAGTTATGACCAACCTGGATAGCATATTTAAAAGCAGAGACATTACTTTGCCAACATAGATCCATCTAGTCAAGTCTATGGTTTTTCCAGTTGTCATGTATGGATATGAGAGTTGAATGGTGAAGAAAGCTGAGTGCCGAAGAATTGATGCTTTTGAACTGTGGTATTGGAGAAGACTCTTGAGCGTCCCTTGGACTGCAATGAGATCCAACCAGTCCATCCTAAAGGAGATCAGTCCTGGGTGTTCATTGTAAGGGCTGATGTTGAAGCTGAAACTCCAATACTTTGGCCACCTCATGCGGAGAGCTGACTCATTGAAAAAGACCCTGATGCTGGGAGGGATTGGGGGCAGGAGGAGAAGGGGACGACAGAGGATGAGATGGCTGGATGGCATCACCGACTCGATGGACATGAGTTTGTGTAAACTCTGGGAGTTTGTGATGGACAGGGAGGCCTGGCGTGCTGCGATTCATGGGATCACAAAGAGTCAGACACGATTGAGTGACTGAACTGAACTAAAGTTCATAAATTAAAAACAATAGTCAAACTATCACCTTGGGGAAATGCTTAAACAAAGTGTTAAGGGAAAATGCTGAATATATTACTATGAATACATTTCATTCAAATTCATAGAAATGTTTTTGTAACTGAAAAGAAACAACCAAAAGAAATTCACTGAGATAATAATGGCTTCTAACTTCTAATCATATTTTCACTATTTTCCAAAGTATCTCTAATGAATATGTTGAACTTGAGCAAACTAGCTAATCTTCCTGAGCCTAATTTTCCTTATCTGTAAAATGGGGATAAGGACAGTAAATATATGGATTAAATAACAAATGTATTATTATTTATATTTTATTTTTATTATTTTATAATACAAATCATAAAAGTAAAGTTCATATGATGCAGATGATGTTCTCTGGGAGAGTCTGGGTCAGAACAGAGTCTCATGAGTGGAAGGGAAGTGAGAATAAATCTTGACTTGTATCACCCAAACATGTTGCTCCCTCTTTGTCCTTAGAGGAACTGGCTTTAAGAGCAGGGGGGTGACTACCTTGCTCATTAGATATCCCAAATTTTATGATTCTTTGTACTAGAAATTTAATAAAAATGTTTGGAAATTAATGGAAATGGAAAATCACCTTGGCAATAAATCTTAGGACGTGGCCCTTGCAAACCAATCTCCCACCTGAGAATGACGTGCAACCATTGAGATCTAATAATACTTGGTATTTACTGAGCATCTACTAAGGGTTAAGAACTGTGTTAAATACTCTTTTCTTAAAAAAACTATTTATTTTTGGTTGCACTGGGTCTTTGCTGCTGTGTGCAGATTTTCTCTAGTTGTAGTGAGCAGGGGCTACTTTCCATTATGGTGCGAAGACTTCAGAAGTTGTGGTACACAGGCTTAGTTGCTCTGCAGCTTGTGGAGTCTTCCCGGACCGAGGATTGAACCCACGTCCCCTGCATTGGCAGAAGGATTCCTATTCACTGCGCCACCAGGGAAGTCCTAAATACTCTTACCTTATAAGGCAGCCTCGGTGATAGGTATTATTATCTGACACAGGAGGAAACAGAGTTTCTAAGGGGTCAAGCAACTTGTCCAGTGTCAACCAGCGAGGGGATGGAAGCATGGGAAATCACTTTCACAGAATTTGTCTCTAGCAGCTAGCTTCTGGATGGCTGTGGTACTGCCTCCCAAAGCAGTTTTCATTTGATGGCCTAAACACCAATTGTGCAGTTCCAAGCATTTGATCTCACATCAGAATGTCCTTGTTGGTTTTTTTTTTTTCATTTATTTTTATTAGTTGGAGGCTAATTACTTCACAGCATTGCAGTGGGTTTTGTCATACATTGACATGAATCAGCCATGTTAATGGCTGATTAACATCCAATACATGTTAATGGAGTTAACATGTATTCCCCATCCCGATCCCCCCTCCCACCTGCCTCCCCACCCGATTCCTCTGGGTCTTCCCAGTGCACCAGGCCAGAGCACTTGTCTCATGCATCCCACCTGGGCTGGTGATATGTTTCACTATAGATTATATACATGCTGTTTTTTCTTTCTTTCTTTTTTTTTTTTTAGCATGACAAAAGACCAGATAGAAACAAAGGCTCTGTTACATTTATTACAAGACTAAATGAAAACAAAATATGGCAGAATTTTTTTTCATGAAAATAATGGTTATTTATCTACTATCAAAGTCTGTTTTGGGGTCTACAATGATTATATTATTATTTTTATAGCATTCTCCTTCAGGGGCAGGAACTGGCTGGCTGTTTCCAGTGCTATCTCTCCTCTCTGCCTCATGGGTGAATTTAAACATCTGATCAAACCGTTTTCACAAATTGAGCAGGAGGTAGAAGAATCTTGCTGTAAGATACTGGATTTTAGGAAATTTCTGGATAAGGGAGATGCTAAATAAGTCTGGGTAATAAATATGCCAGGACATGACAGTGTTTTCCTTGTTCTTGCCCCTGGCATTGTCATTGCTTATTGTTTTGATTTTCAGCTGTTTATTGTTTTAATTTTTAGCTTAAAGTAGATTCAACTGTTCAGAGACAAGCAGTGTGTTTGGGGCCTGGGTTTGGAGGTAGGAAAGAGTGGAAGAGGCTTTGAGTGGGAATTCTTTTTGTCAACCTCGGTGGGTCAATGCCCCGGGCATATCGATTCTTCCTTTCAGTCTTCTGTGAACCTTTTCCAGGATCCTAAGTCTCCTGGGAATGTAGGGGCTGGAGCTTCTCTAGTCCTTATAAAATGTGATCATCTTTTTAAAACATTTATTATATTTATTTACTTATTTGGCTGTGCCATTTCTTAGTTGCAGCACTCAGGATCTTTAGTTGCGGCATGCAAACACATAGTTGTGGCATGTGCATTCTAGTTCCCTGACCAGGGATTTAGCCTGGGCCCCTGGCATTGGGAGTGTAGAGTCTTAGCCACTGGACCACTGGGAAAGTCCCCAAATGTGATCATCTTTACTGTTCTGCTGAGCTTCACTGGTGGTTCAGGCGGTAAAGAATCTGACTGCAATGCAGGAGACCTAGGTTTGATCCCTGGGTTGGGAAGATGGCCTGGAGAAGGGAATGGCTACCCACCCCAGTATTCTTGCCTGGGGAATCCCATGGACAGAAGAGCCTGGTGGGCTACAGCCCATGGGGTAGCAAAGAGTCAGACATGATTGAGCGACTATCGCTTTACTGTTCTTCTATTCATAAATGTCATTTGCCTTTAAAAAAAAAACAACAACCACAATAACAAGATACTTGTGATAGAAGTACTACTCAAAACAGTCCTGTATGATTTCACTTCCTTTTTCCCTACACTCTGCCAACCTGCCCTTGACTATGAAATAATTACCATCTAGCACTCTGCTTGTTACTGAGGTCCTCATGGTGGTTTTTCAAACTTACTGATTTATGTAGACAAAGCCCAGCTTTGTAATGTTGACATCTCTCACCTTTCCCCTTTAAACTATGTAAAAATTTTATTCTATACATAGCCCTATGGGTAAGGACATTTGATATGGCCCTAGGCTCTTAAGGGTCAGTGACAATCTTTGTTGGCACTTAGAGGGTTCAACAATTTTGTTGAATTTAATACAACTTTTAATCTCATAATCATTTATAGCATAGTATCTGAGACATTTGTTTATACATTCACTTATTCTTTCATTTATTTATTTTACATGCTTTCCAATTTTCCCAGGTCTGTCTCTGGTCTTTGTTTGGATACATGTATGTTCTAGGGTAGATCTGTACATGAAATCTTACAGGGTCTAGATAACAAAATGCTTTCCACATGCCGTATTTTAGCTATGGCATAGAAAGGAGTTATGAGTGTTAGTTATGACACCCATTGAAATAAGGTGTTAGAATCATTATCAGACTTACAGTGTCCTGACTGCTGGATATGGGAGAACTTCTTTTAATTTTTTATTTTTTTAAAATTGGACTATAATTGCTTTACAAAGTTCTGCTGTACAACAGCCGAGACTCGGCTGTGAGAATGCACATATCCGCTCCCTCTTGAGCCTCTGTCCCATCCCCCATCCCTCCCCGTCTAGGTCATCACAGATCACTAGACTGCACGCCCTGTGCTATCAGCAGCTTCTCATAGCTGTCTGTTTCCACGAGGCAGTGTATGTATATGTTAATAATGTTCTCTGTTCATCCCGCCCTCCCTTCCCGCCGCGGTGTCCACAAGTCCCTTCTCTATGGGAAGCTTTCTTATATCCTGCAGTTTGTGTCCTTGCAGACCTAACCCGACTGTCAGTGCCCAGGGAAGACAATCCATGGGCGCCAAGAACAACGTGACTGAGTTTGTCTTGCTCAGCCTTTTCCAGAGCCGGGAGATGCAGCGTGCCTGCTTCCTGGTCTTCTCCATCTTCCACGTGCTCACGGTCCTGGGGAACCTTCTGGTCATCGTCACCATCAACGCCAGCAAGACCCTGCATGCCCCCATGTACTTCTTCCTCAGCCACTTGTCCTGTGCTGACATGTGCTATCCATCCGCCACCACACCCAAGATGATTGCCGACACTTTGGTTGAGCGCAAGACCATCTCCTTTGAGGGCTGCATGACCCAGCTCTTTTCTGCCCACTTCTTTGGTGGCACCGAGATCTTCCTCCTCACGGCCGTGGCCTATGACCGCTACGTGGCCATCTGTCGGCCCTTGCACTACACAACCATCATGGGCCGCCGGAGGTGCGGCCTGCTGGCGGGGGCCTCCTGGGTGGCTGGCTTCCTGCATTCCATCCTGCAGACGCTCCTCACGGTCCAGCTGCCCTTCTGTGGGCCCAACGAGATCGACAACTTCTTCTGTGACGTCCATCCCCTGCTGAAGCTGGCCTGTGCAGACACCTACGTGGCGGGGCTCATCGTGGTGGCCAACAGCGGCATGATTTCTTTAGTGTCCTTCGTCATCCTTATCATCTCCTATGTGGTCATCCTGCTGAGCCTGAGAAGCCGGTCTTCTGGGGGCCGGCGCAAGGCTCTGTCCACGTGCGGCTCACACATCATCACTGTGCTTCTGGTCCTGGTGCCCCCCAAGTTCATGTACATTCGACCCTCCACCACCCTGGCCGCTGACAAACTCGTCATCCTCTTTAACATCGCCGTGCCACCTTTGCTGACCCCTCCGATCTACACGCTGAGGAGCAGTGAGGTGAAAAATGCCACGAGGAAGATCTTTCAGGGTCCAGGGGAGCTCCGGGGGAGAAGTGAAACGGCAAGGTATCTGCGGAGCCTGGGCTTGGGAAACTTCCCGCCTTTGTAGCGTCTAAGATGCTTTTGCATCTCTGGTCTGATGCTTGTAATGGCTACTCTTGCTCTTTTTCTAATAATATTCCACTTGTTCCCTTAATCTTCCAGTCGTTAAATATTTATTACCTGCAAAGAGTGAGGCACTGGGAATACAAATAAAAGTAAATTGTAATCACTGCACTCAAGGTGGGGTCATAGCCCAGGAGGCTCATGCATGCTAAGTTGCTTCGGTCGTGTCTGACTCTTTGCAACCCCATGGACTATAGCCTGCTAGGCTCCTCTGTCCATGGGTATCTCCTGGCAAGAAGACTTGAGTGGCTAGCTGTTCCGTTCTCCAGGGGATCTTCCTGATCCTGGGATTGAACCTGGGTCTCCTGCCCTGCAGGCAGATTCTCTACCATCTGAGCCATGGTGGAAGGCTTTATGAGGCTCTTAGTGTGATATTTAAAGGCTCATTCAGGAAACCTGTGACAGCCTGTGAATGTGCAGGTATCTCATCTATAAAATGAATAATATCACTTAATAATTCCTTTATTAACACAATAGTTGTTGAAGTTCACCTTCTCTTTGCTTATGATGTTCAAGGCACTTTACTCATAGTCCTCATTTTGTGCTCTCAGGAGACAGGTGAGTAACTAAATGCAGCAAGATTAAAAGATTCACCCAGGTCACACAGTAAGTCTTGAGCAAGGTGGGGACCAGGATCATAAGTCTGCTTTCGGGGCTCTTACCGCCTCCAGAGGACTCCATAACAAAGACGGAGTGCATGGATGTCAAGCAGGATGGGCCAGGGATTTTGGGGACTAAGGACTGATGGTTTCCTGGGATGCTGGGGAGCAGAGCTGGGGAGAATAGGTTGTTAGCACTCCACCCAGTAGTATCCAGTCCTCCAGCAGAACAGGGACTGTTCCACATTAATCTTTGCTTTGCCCTATTTGCTCTAGAGAGGCCAGTTTGTTTAGGATGGAATTTGAAGAGCAGGGTTAGAAGTCCTACTCAAGTAACCATTCATGGATCATTTAATTCATTTGGGTCTCAGTTTCCACAAATACAAATGGAGACAGTAATAATACCAGCTTCAGAAGGTTTGAAGGGGACCTTCAGGACGTTATACATTCTTATATCAGAGAATACGCTAGTAAAGTAATGCTCAAAATTCTCCAAGCCAGGCTTCAGCAATACATGAACTGTGAACTTCCAGATGTTCAAGCTGGATTTAGAAAAGGCCGAGGAACCAGAGATCAAATTGCCAACATCTGCTGGATCATCGAAAAAGCAAGAGGGTTTCAGAAAAACATCTATTTCTGCTTTATTGACTATGCCAAAGCCTTTGACTGTGTGGATCACAATAAACTGTGGAAAATTCTGAAAGGGATGGGAATACCAGACCACCTGACCTGCCTCTTCAGAAACCTATGTGCGGGTCAGGAAGCAACAGTTAGAACTGGACATGGACCAACAGACTGGTTCCAAATAGGAAAAGGAGTACGTCAAGGCTGTATATTGTCACCCTGCTTGTTTAACTTATATGCAGAGTACATCATGAGAAATGCTGGGCTGGAAGAAGCACAAGCTGGAATCAAGATTGCTGGGAGAAATATCAATAACCTCAGATATGCAGATGACCCCACCCTTATGGCAGAAAGTGAAGAGGAACTAAAAAGCCTCTTGATGAAAGTGAAAGAGGAGAGTGAAAAAGTTGGCTTAAAGCTCAACATTCAGGAAACTAAGATCATGGCATCTGGTCCCATCACTTCATGGCAAATAGATGGGGAAACAGTGTCAGGCTTTATTTTTTTGGGCTCCAAAATCACTGCGGATGGTGATTGCAGCCATGAAATTAAAAGACGTTTACTCCTTGGAAGGAAAGTTATGACAAACCTAGATAGCATGTTAAAAAGCAGAGACATTACTTTGCCAACAAAGGTCTGTCTGGTCAAGGCTATGGTTTTTCCAGTGGTCATGTATGGATGTGAGAGTTGGACTGTGAAGAAATCTGATTGCCTAAGAATTGATGCTTTTGAACTGTGGTGTTGTGAAGACTCTTGAGAGTCCCTTGGCCTGCAAGGAGATCCAACCAGTCCATCCTAAAGGAGATCAGTCCTGGGTGTTCATTGGAAGGACTGATGCTGAAGCTGAAACTCTAGTACTTTGGCCACCTCATGCTGAGAGCTGAGTCACTGGAAAAGACCCTGATGATGGGAGGGATTGGGGGCAAGAGGAGAAGGGGACGACAGAGGATGAGATGGCTGGATGGCATCACCAACTCAATGGGCATGAGTTTGAGTAAACTCCGGGAGTTGATGATGGACAGGGAGGCCCGGCGTGCTGCGATTCACAGGGTTGCAAAGAGTCAGACACGACTGAGTGACTGAACTGAACTGAACTGAACTGAAATATTGGAAGCTTTTATGTAATTATTTGCTAATCTTCTTCCTAGTGCTTTTTTTCAATATAGAGAATAATGATTAATTAGGGTTTACGTTCTCAGAGTGATTGCATTAAAATCTTTAAAACAATCTTAAACTATGTCATTATAATTTTCTCCTTAATTATTAGTTGACATTTCTCATCTTGTTTCATCTTTAATTTTACTCAAGACTGAGTTAATGACATTCATGGATAGCACTGGTGTAGAGTACATTGATTTTGCAAAGTGCCATTATGGCATTGGTAAAACATTTTGTTGCATAGTCAAAGCAGATTAGTAAACTCATATGCAATCAAAGTCCAGTTTTAATAAACACCAATTCAGATTTTTTTTCCTCTTTAGCAGGGTATCTGAATAGCTGTAGTATTGTGATTTGGCTCAGATAAGCTATGCTGTGGAGGCTATCCTGTGCATTGTAGGATATTTCTTAGCATCTCTGGCCTCTGCCCACTGGATGCTAATACCTCCTCCCCTGCAGGTTGGTACAATGAAAAATGTGTCCAGGTATTGCCAAATATACTCTTGAAGGCAAAAATTGCTCCCAGTTGAGATCTACTGTTCTGCACCCTCATCCACACCAAGGCCAGTTTACTGACACTGCCCATGCCTTCGGACCCATGCTTTGAACGGTGTCATTTCATGTAAAGTCACGTGACTGAGTTCATGGTGAGAGCTGGATCTAACTGACCTCTAAACAGCATGGAGCCCCATAGCCTAAGTGCCCTGTGAACACTGGGTGAAGTTAGTTTACCATTTCCTATTGATTTCTGAAGTTATGTTACCTACAAGGAAGTTTGAGATGTTGGTTTCACTTTGAAAGCAAAGGGAATATTGTAAGACATCCATGGCATTTAACAAAATGCTCCACATTGATCTGGTCTCTGCCTGAGGCAAGCACTGTGCTAGACGTGGGACACAGGGATGGAGAATATTTGGTGTTGGTCCTTTATTCTTTCAACATTTAATGAACCTTTACAATGTACCAAATACTGTGCTCAGAAGCTAGGAAAGATTTATATTTGCTTTTCATTCCATATACATTCACTGAATTCTCTTTTGTGGTGGATATTCAGTTGGCACCAGAGATGGAGTGTTGAGCAGTTTATAATCTCTGCCCCAGGAAATTCACAATTTAGTGGACCAGACGGTCACAGAGCACAATTATAAGCTGGTGAGGAAAGTGCTGTGATTTCAAAATGTCTTGAGAGAGGAGGGATCACTGACTGTAGGGGTCTATAGATTGGGAAATGGATTTCCTGTCTCTGAGAAGCTTCCAAGGCAGCACAGTGTACGAATACTTAACTTCTCCTGGGATGGGCTAGGAGGGAGATATATGGCGTCCAATTGTGAGGTAGGTTTTATCTCCAAGGAATGGTGTGGATTTGAGTCTCTGAGAGGGTAAATAACTTTCTAGATTAGTTACCACCTGCAGTAATTGGAACATGGACCTAGGAGTCCAGCAGTGGTTTCTTCTAGGAGTGATCTGGTAAAATTCTCAAAAGACCTGAGGGTTTAGTGATGCTCTTTGCCTTCTCTTGGTCTCTGCAATCATAAACTCTGTTGGTGATTTCCTTATAGCGGTGACTCGTGATAGTGCGTAATTACCTGTTCCCAATGCTCAAGGAAGGACGATTTGTGGTGTGAGTGGATGTCACACGACTCCTGGTCTCAGGCGCCCTGAAGTCCAACTGTAGGAGGGGACCATGTTGATACAGTTCGATCTCAGTCACCTTGACCAAATCCAGCATGGGTGAAGATAGTCTGCTAACCGGTCAATGCACAATCGTGGCAATGTTTTAAGTTGTTAGAAGGTCTGCCTTCTTATACGGATGTGTCATAGTCGGCATTTTGGGTGGAGAGGTGGTTTGTACTTCTATTGCCACCAAGGGACAGAAGCCTGAAAGAAATGACGGTATCTGTAAAGAGAAGAATTGTGGATGGATTGAACTGGAACTTTTGAAAGGAACTAGGTCACCTGGTGACCGAATGCAGAAGCAGATAATCAGGTAGAGGAGCAGAAATAAGAGAGGGTGCTGAATGTCCCTGGAAATCTCTTCAGAAGACCCTGAAGCATATATGGGAAGGTGAGACTCTTATTCTGAAAACCAGGAAGGGAAAGGAGCAAAAGGAAGCAGGATGAAAGAAATCTGCAGGCAAAAGACAAGCATTCAATGGCAATAGACAGATGGTTATTTTGGACATGGCAACACTGTACCTGCTGCCCTATATCATCCAGTGAGGCGATCAGTCTCCTAATAGACTTCTCCTAGTTCAGCATCTATTCCAGTAGTCCAATTTCTGCATGCCAAGCGATTCTGCCTTTGGGTCCACTAACATTTTTGATGATTCCCCATTGTCTGTTGAATAAACCCCAAAGTCCATAATAGTCCTTTGTGAATTGGTACTAGATTCTGGCTCCAAATTTATGGTTGCTATTCTTCACTTTACTCCAGGCTCACTCAAATTTTTATAGTTTGCACTTCTTCCTCGGCTTCCTTGGAGTGTTCTTCCCTTTTCTAAATAACTAACTCATACTTATCATTCAGTATCCAGCTCACAAGCTTCTCACATTTAAAACAGATTGTTATGTAAATTTCCCACTTAATGTAGGAGTCTTTTGTATCATTTCAGATCACCCTTCCAAATTTCCCCTCCTGGTGACTACGTCATGGCTAAAACACACAATGTGACAGAATTTATTTTCCTGGGACTTTCTTCCAATCAGCTGGTAGAGAAAGTCTGCTTTGTGATATTTCTGCTCCTGTATGTAGCCATCGTGCTGGGGAATTTCCTCATTGTCCTCACTGTCATGAGCAGCAGAAGCCTTGGCTCCCCCATGTACTTCTTCCTCAGCTACCTGTCCTTTGTGGAGATCTGCTACGCCTCGACGACAGCCCCCAGACTCATCTCAGATCTGCTGGCTGAAAGGAAAGCCATATCTCTGTGGGGCTACATGTCACAGGTTTTCTTTATCCACTTGTTTGGTGGCACTGAGGCTTTCCTGCTCACCGTGATGGCCTATGACCGCTACGTGGCCATCTGCAAGCCCCTCAGCTACACCACCATCATGAACCGGCAGGCGTGTGCCTTCCTGGTGGGCCCAGCATGGGTGGGGGGCTTCGTGCATTCCTTGGTTGATAGCCTTCTCGTCTTCCGCTTGCCCTTCTGTGGCCCCGACGTGATCGACCACTATTTCTGTGACGTGCTTCCCTTGCTCAAACTTGCCTGCTCTGACACCTTCCTTGTTGGTCTTCTGATCGTTGCCAACGGGGGGACCCTGTCTGTGATCAGCTTCGTGGCCCTCTTAGCCTCCTATGTGGTCATCTTGCTCCATCTGAGGACTCGGAGCTCCGAGGGGCGGCGCAAGGCCCTGTCCACCTGTGGGTCCCACATCACCGTGGTCACCTTGTTCTTTGGGCCCTGCGTCTTCATCTATCTGAGACCTTCTACCACCCTGTCTGTGGACAAGATGGTGGCCGTGTTCTACATGGTGATCACCCCACTGCTCAACCCTGTCATCTACTCCCTGAGAAATGCTGAAGTGAAGAAGGCCATGAAGAGGCTGTGGGTCAGAGCAATGAAACCAGAAGAGAGGTAGAGGCTGAGCTTTGGTGTCTTGGTATTAACATCCATCACCACAAATAGTTACATATAGTATATATATATATATATATACACACACATATATATATTTTTTACCTTGTGAGAATCCATTTTCTGCCCCCAGTCCAGCTGTGTTGCTTGTGGGATCTTAGTTTCCTGAGCAAGAATGGAGACTGTATCCTCATCATTGAAACCATGTAGTCCTGACCATGAGACTGTTGGGGAATTCCTCTATTTTTTAAAAAAAATCCGTATATAGCTTTTATTATGTTGAGGTATGTTCCTTCTATTCCTGCTTTCTGGAGAGTTTTAATCATAAATGAGTGTTGAATTTTGTCAAAGGCTTTCTCTGCATCTATTGAGATAATCATATGATTTTTATCTTTCAATTTGTTAATGTGGTGTATTACATTGATTGATTTGTGGGTATTAAAGAATCCTTGCATTCCTGGGATAAAGCCCACTTCGTCATGGTGTATGATTTTTTTAATATGTTGTTGGATTCTGTTTGCTAGAGTTTTGTTAAGGAGTTTTGCATCTATGTTCATCAGTGATATTGGCCTGTAGTTTTCTTTTTTTGTGGCATCTTTGTCTGGTTTTGGAATTAGGGTGATGGTGGCCTCATAGAATGAGTTTGGAAGTTTACCTTCTGAAATTTTCTGGAAGAGTTTGAGTAAGATAGGTGTTAGCTCTTCTCTAAATTTTTGGTAGAATTCAGCTGTGAAGCCATCTGGTCCTGGGCTTTTGTTTGCTGGAAGATTTCTGATTACAGTTTTGATTTCCTTGCTTGTGATGGGTCTGTTAAGATCTTCTATTTCTTCCTGGTTCAGTTTTGGAAAGTTATACTTTTCTAAGAATTTGTCCACTTCTTCCAAGTTGTCCATTTTATTGGCATAGAGCTGCTGGTAGTAGTCTCTTATGATCCTTTCCCCTGAAATCAGGAACAAGACAAGGGTGCCCACTCTCACCACTACTATTCAACATAGTTTTGGAAGTTTTGGCCACAGCAATCAGAGCAGAAAGAGAAGTAAAAGGAATCCAGATAGGAAAAGAAGAAGTGAAACTCTCGCTGTTTGCAGATGACATGATCCTCTACATAGAAAATCCTAAAGACTCTACCAGAAAATTACTAGAGCTAATCAATTAATACAGTAAAGTTGCAGGATATAAAATTAACACACCAAAATCCCTTGCATTCCTATACACTAACAATGAGAAAACAGAAAGAGAAATTAAGGAAACAATACCATTCACCATTGCAACAAAAAGAATAAAATACTTAGGAGTATATCTACCCAAAGAAACAAAAGACCTATACATAGAAGACTATAAAACACTGATGAAAGAAATCAAAGAGGACACAAACAGATGGAGAAACATACCGTGTTCATGGATTGGAAGAATCAATATTGTCAAAATGGCTATACTACCCAAAGCAATCTATAGATTCAATGCAATCCCTATCAAGCTACCAATGGTATTTCTCACAGAACTAGAACAAATAATTTCACAATTTGTATGGAAATACAAAAAACCTCAAATAGCCAAAGTAATCCTGAGAAAGAAGAATGTAACTGGAGGAATCAACCTGCCTGACTTCAGACTCTACTACAAATCCACAGTCATCAAGACAGTATGGTACTGGCACAAAGACAGAAATATAGATCAATGGAACAGAATAGAAAGCCCAGAGATAAATCCATGAACCTATGGACACCTTATCTTCGACAAAGGAGGCAAGGATATACAATGGAAAAAAGACAACCTCTTTAACAAGTGGTGCTGGGAAAACTGGTCAACCACTTGCAAAAGAATGAAACTAGAACACTTTCTAACACCATACACAAAAATAAACTCAAAATGGATTAAAGATCTAAATGTAAGACCAGAAACTATAAAACTCCTAGAGGAGAACATAGGCAAAACACTCTCTGGCATAAATCACAGCAGGATCCTCTATGACCCACATCCCAGAATTTTAGAAACAAAAGCAAAAATAAACAAATGGGACCTAATGAAACTTAAAAGCTTTTGCACAACAAAGGAAACTATAAGCAAGGTGAAAAGGCAGCCCTCAGATTGGGAGAAAATAATAGCAAACGAAACAACTGACAAAGGATTAATCTCAAAAATATACAAGCAACTCCTGCAGCTCAATTCCAGAAAAATAAATGACCCAATCAAAAAATGGGCCAAAGAACTAAACAGACATTTCTCCAAAGAAGACATACAGATGGCTAACAAACACATGAAAAGATGCTCAACATCACTCATTATCAGAGAAATGCAAATTAAAACCACAGTGAGGTACCATTACACGTCAGTCAGGATGGCTGCTATCCACAAGTCTACAAGCAATAAATGCTGGAGAGGGTGTGGAGAAAAGGGAACCCTCTTACACTGTTGGTGGGAATGCAAACTAGTACAGTCAGTATGGAGAACAGTGTGGAGATTTCTTAAAAAACTGGAAATAGAACTGCCATATGACCCAGCAATCCCACTCCTGGGCATACACACTGAGGAAACCAGATCTGAGAGAGACACTTGCACCACACTGTTCATTGCAGCACTGTTTATAATAGCTAGGACATGGAAGCAACCTAGATGCCCATCAGCAGATGAATGGATAAGGAAGCTGTGGTACATATACACCATGGAATATTACTCAACCGTTAAAAAGAATTCATTTGAATCAGTTCTAATGAGATGGATGAAACTGGAGCCCATTATACAGAGTGAAGTAAGCCAGAAAGATAAAGAACATTACAGCATACTAACACATATATATGGAATTTGGAAAGATGGTAATGATAACCCTATATGCAGGACAGAAAAAGAGACACAGATGTACAGAACAGACTTTTGGACTCTGTGGGAGAAGGCGAGGGTGGGATGTTTCGAGAGAACAGCATGTATATTATCTATAGTGAAACAGATCACCAGCCCAGGTGGGATGTATGAGACAAGTGCTTGGGCCTGGTGCACTGGGAAGACCCAGAGGAATCGGGTGGAGAGGGAGGTGGGAGGGGGAATTGGGATGGGGAATACATGTTAACTCCATGGCTGATTCATGTCAATGTATGACAGAACCCACTGCAGTGTTGTGAAGTGATTGGCCTCCAGCTAGTGAAAATAAATGAAAAAAAAAAAATCCACCCAGAAACTCTGCCTTTTGATTGGAGAATTCAATCTATTTATACTTATAGTAATCATTGAAATGTAAAGCCTTACTATTTCCATTTGATGAAATACTTTCTGGCTGTTTTGTAGTTAATTTTTAATACTCTTGTTACCTATGTTTGTGAATTGGTGACTTTGCATGGTGTTATCCTCTTATTTCCTTATCTTTATTTCTTGTGAATCTACTGTAGATTTGTCTTGTGGTTATATGAGGCTTACATAAAAGATAACAAACTAGTCTACCTTATGTTGTTAGCAACTTAATTGCATATAAACACTTTGCCCTCTTATACTCCCAGATGTCTTCAGTATTACAATATGCCTCTTTTTATGTTGTCTATTCTTTCATAAATTATAGTAGCTATGATTACTTTGCTACTCACATCTTTTAACTTTTATACTATAGTTAAGTGGTTAACACATCATCTATAACAGTATTAGATTTTCAGAATATGACTATACATTTGCTTTATTTAATGTGTTGAATATTTTCCATATATTTTCATGTTACTAGTTACTGTTTTTTTTTTTTTTTACCATAGGAACTTTCAGCACTTCTTGTAAGGTATGTCTGGTGATATTGAATTATCTTAGGTGTTTGTCTGTGAAAGTTTTTTTCTTCTTTATTTCTGAATGATAACTTTTCTGGATGGAGTATTCTGGGTTGGCATGTTTTTTCTTTCAATAATTTGAGAATATCTTTTCATTCTGTTCAAGCCTGCAAGATTTCTGCTATGAAATCTGCTGATAATCTAATGGAGGTTTCTTTGCAGGCTTCAAACTTCTCTTCTCTCTCTGCTTTGAAGATTATCCCTTTGTGTTTGATTTTTACAGTTTTATTATAATATGTATTGAGAAGGTCATTTTGGATTGGTATAATGAATAATTCATTACTTTCATGACTTGAATTCCCAAATCTCTCTCCAGGTTTGGAGAGTCTTCTGTAATTTCTTCAAATAAGCTGTCTGACCCCTTCTCTTTTTCTTTGGAATAACAATGATATTGATTTTTTTTTTGGTGGTCTCCTATAGGTAACATTTCTTCATCTTTTAATTTTTTTCTATTCAGCATTGGATATTCCAATGTTCCTATTCTGTATCTGGGCTTCCCTGGTGGCTCAGATGGTAAATAATTCACTGCAATGAGGGAGGCGTGGGTTTGAACACTGGGTTGGGAAGGTCCCTTGGAGGAGGGAATGGTAACCCACTCCAGTGTTCTTCCCTGGAGAATCCTCACGAACAAAGGCGCCTGGCTGTGGGATGACAAAGAGTCAGACATGACTGAGCAACTAAACACACTCTGTATCTACTGATTTTTTTTTTCTAGGTCTACTCTCTTGTTGATACTCTCTATTGCATTTTCTGTCCATTGAATTCTTCAGAAATTCAGCTCCAGAATTTCCATTTGGTTCTTTCGTATGATCACTAATCTTTGTTAATTGTCTCATTTTGATCATGTATTGTCTGCCTGATTTCATTGGATTGTCTTGCTATGATTTCTTGAAACTCAGTGAATTTCCTTAAAAGAGATTTTGAATTATCTGTCAGGTAAATTGTAGATCTCCATGTTTTTGGGTTTGGTTACAGGAAGATTACCACAATCTTTTGGTGTTGTCTTGTTTCCTTGATATTTTATGTTCCTGGGAATTTTGCATTGCTGTTCTTGCATTTGATTTAACTATCACTTGCTCTGTTATTTACCAGTTACTTTAGGATAAAATATCTTTCATCAGTCTTGCTATTGATTCTAAGATGTTGTAGATTCTAAGGCTTTCTCATACCTTGTATAGATGCACCTGCCCTAAACCTCTTGCTT